GAGGATCCCAGATCTTGGGCCTCTCATGGGTGGCTGTGCTGTACCATAATCCAGGTGCTACTATTTCTCTCTCAAATTGGAAGAAGTATCTAGAGTAATACCTTAATACACTGGCTCCTCTCCTCTTGCCCTTGATCCAGTACCTCTTAACCATACCGGTTCATTCGCATCTTACAAAACCTGGTCCTCGGTGATTAAACAGAAGCTAGTATTCTTAAAAAAACAAACAAACAAACATGGTCCTGCTTTTCTGTGCTACTGCCTAACATAGTATCACAAAGATGGGATGCCCTTGCTATGTAACAAATCAAGCCAGGTGCTTCAGCAAAATTAAAAGAAGGAGCATTCTAGGTATTTGGAAAAAGGTTCAAGAAACAATACACCATACAAAGCTCACTATGTTATAGGTGATCAAATGCTTGTGGATTAATCATCACCCCAGACCAAATCCTTTCAAGGGCAAAAAGTACTCAAGTGAGGAACAGAACAGGGGCAGGACTGACTACCAATACTGAGTGTAAAGTGGTTACTGTGAAGTTTGTTCTTACAGCTCACACTTCTCATTTGTGTCTAAAGAGACCTGTGTCCTTAGCAAGACTAAAAAAGTCCTACCTCAGAGATACCACAAACTCAATGTTCCCCGACAACTCTGTAATCCAAAGGCAGTGTAGGACCAAAATTTACCTGCCAAAGTTTGTACCTGCACATCCAAAAGTGAATCTTCCTTGGGAGAGAGCTTATAATTTTCAGTCTCAAAAATACCTATGTGGGAAGCAGGACATGGTGTCACACACCTGTAATTCCAGCATTTGGGAAACTGAGGCAGGGGGATCTCTCTGAGTTCAAGGCCAGCTGAACCACACAGTTAGATCCTGTCACCCCCCCCAAAAAAAAACCTATGGGGAAATGAAAGTTAGTCACTACAAATTCTAAACTGTCCCTCTGACCTACAAGTAGAAACTATATGCCAACTTCACTGGATACCAAATCTGAACTTCCTACTACAGTAATCTCACGCTCAATGATCATGACACACACACTCTACACTATGGGGTTGCGAAGTCCTTAAACCACCTAATCCAAGATGAGAATGTGTTAAACTAGAAGTAAATGTGTGACTATACTCAAATAGGTTATATGTGCTCCCTTTTAAAAAGTTTTCACTTCACTTTTCTCTCCTCCTACCAAGGGGGAAGCTGCTCAGTACTGGTCCTAAGGTACTATGCAATGTTGAATGGATTCCAATCTGCATTTTACCCTGCCAAAGCCAGAAGAGATATTTTCTGTGGAATCCCTCAGGGCCCAAGTTACCCACCTCATAACACTTTTTTTTGGGGGGGGGTACCAGGGATAGAACTCAGGTCCTTGCACTTAAGAGGCAGGCAGCAGAACCACTGAGCTAAATCCCCAGCCCTTTAGCACCTCTTTAAAACACCTGACATGTGCCCTCATCCAACCCAAAAGGGCAGACGGATTTCCAGGCTACAGAGCCAGATCTAATTTCTATATTCCTATTATCATGACTCAGACTGAATGTGGGTGATTCCTTTTTATTTTCATGGTTAATTTAGTTACTGGAAAAGAAAAAGATATTCAACCTTTTCTCTGAACACAATCAAATGAATGAAAGAAAAATCAGTAATCAGTCTCAACCAAAACTGAAGAACTCCACAACAAACTAACCAGACACATCGAGTGGAAAGTAGAAAAAAGGCAAGACATAAAAGAAAAGACCTTAATACAGCCATGCACCATACAATGATGTTTCAGTCAACAACTCAAGAGATATACGATGGTGGTCTCATAAGATTATAAGGGAGTTGGAAAATTCCTATCACCTTCAGTGGGTTTGTGTTTTCAGCTAAATGTTACTACAGAAGAGATTTAAAAATTCAAGTTTATAAGTAAAACAGTTCCAGTAATCTAAGGTTAATAGTGAAGAAGGAAAATTATTTGTTCTTAATAAATTTAGTGTATTGTAAGTGTACAGCAACGTCCTCGGCCTTCACATTTACTCACAGACTTGCACAGAGCAACCTCCAGTCTGGCACACTCCTTTCAAGGCAAAAAGCTTTCAAACAGGTGTGCCATTTTTGATTGCTAGGCACTACTTTTACTGTACCTTTTCTACATTTAAATATATTTAGACACACAAAGACTGCCCCGGCCTGCCTGTGTTGCTGAAGGGTTCACAGAGAAATGATGGTGAGATTAAGACAGACAGAGATATAAGGTATAGGGTGGGGCTCTAACTCCTGATGAGAGGAAAAGACTACCAAGCAAACGGCAGGTTTATTTATAGGGGTAGAGATGGGGAAGTGTGTGGGGGGTAAAAGGGGTGGTCAGTAACCCTGTAACTGGAGCTAAGGTCTGCAGGACATCATGTTTGATGTTTCTCTGGCAAATGGGTGGGAAGGAAGACAGCCCTCTTCTCTCCGGGCCTTACTCCACCATGCCTTCTTGTTGCCTGTTCTCCCACCAGGTCCTGCCTCAGCCTCAGGAGGAAGCAAACAAGATGTGTGTTCCTCATTTTAGGGGGAGCCCTGATTCATCAACTGGAAGAGGTGAGTTAGGCCTGGCCATAGTGATCTACAGCGCAGTGCTCCCAGCAAAAGACCACTGTGTTACAGTTGCATACAGTGTTTAACGCAGCAACACACCATACAGGTTTGCATCCTGGGAGTGATGGGCTCTACCATGTAGCCCTGGTGAACAGCAGGCTATTCCACCAGGGTTCTATAAGTACTATATTCTATGATGTTCACTCAATGACAAAATCATCAAACAATGCATTTCTCAAAATGTATTTCTGTTGTCAGGCAACATGTGACTGCAATGGTCACATTTGTCCCCTAGTGTGCTTTCTGAGGCCAGACACAGAAATGAGCTCTGCAAATACGGGTTAGTGATCTGAAATCCGTTTTTTTGTTTGTTTTTTGGGTTGGTTTTTTTGTTTTTTTGTTTGTTTGTTTGTTTGTTTTTTGGTTTTTTGAGACAGGGTCTCACTATGTAGTTGACACTGACCTGGAACTCACTATGTAGCCCAGGCTGGTCTCAAACTCACAGTGATCCTTCCGCCTCAGCCTCCCTTTTGAGTGCTGGGATTACATATGTACGCCACCACGCCCAGCTTGAAATCCTTATCTTTGACAACATATAGATGTCAGAGAAGCAGAGACAGATGAAGAGAGTCAAGGAATGAATGAAGAAACAAATCTTGCAAACTTGTGCCTAAACACTGTGGTGGAAAGGAGGCAGTTCCCACACAGCAGCCAACAGCAGCTCTAGGTCTCATCTCTGTGGATAGGTCTGGAGCCATGTCTTGAACCCAGCACAGAGGAGATCAAGAGATCGATACTAGAATTTCTGCTTTCAATTATATTTCATATATGATGGAGGAAAACACCAGCTGACCAAATTGGAGAGTATTATTTTTGTTGTTAAGGTGTCGTGACAGATTATAGGAAGGCTGACTTTCCTCAAAGCCTCTCCCTGGTATAACTGTTGTCTAACAAAATCTAACTAAAAGATTACATTCCTAAATATATATAATTAAACATGTTAAAGCACCTTTCTTCGAGTAATGAAATACTTGATTAGTCTCTATAAGATGGCAGAGGGAATGGGACAAAATAATTATCACTCCCTATTTACAGACCAAAATATAGGTGTTTCCCAACACATGCAAGTTTTTAAGTAGCCTAATTACCAGGGTGTTATGCTCTCCTAAACCACAAATTAGAGGATATAGAAAGCAAAATCTATTCATGCATGCAGTCATCCAAACACTGAATTCTTACCAACTGCCAGGTGTTATTCTACATTGAAAGGAAAGCAAGCTGAGAAGGAATATGCTTGGGGAATCTAGTTCAGCGTGTAGGATGGAGAATGGCACGTGATATACTGTGATACTCTGTCATGTGACAGAGATAACCCTGAAAGCTGGGTATGGTGGCATAAGCCTATAATCCAGCTACTTGGGAGACTAAGGCAAGAGGATCACAAGTCCAAAGCCAGCCTAGGCAAATTAGTGAGACTCTGACTCTGAACTGAAAAATAAAAATAAAAGGCTGGGGCCGGGTGTGGTGGTGCACACCTGTAATCCCAGCACTTGGGAGGCTGAGGCAGGAGGATTGCTGTGAGTTCGAGACCAGCTTGGGCTACATAGTGAGTTCCAGGTCAGTCTCAAACACATAGTGAGACCCTGCCTCAAAAAAACAAAAAAACTAAGATAATTAATTAATTAATTAATTAATTTTATAAAGGCTGGAGATGTAGCTCAGAGTGAGACCATGGGTTCCATCCTCAGAACCACAAGGGGTGGGGGAGGGCAGGCTGTGCTAGAGCTGAGAAGGGAGTATAATTCTCTCCAGGAAAGGCTTCAGAGAGGGCAGTTTGACCTGGCTTTGTAGGAAGGCAGGAAGACTGGTTTATTTGCCAGCTCTCCTACTGGCTATGAGGCTGGAAGCACACACACAAACACACACACACACACACACACACACACACACACACACACACACACACCTTAATCTCACCAACAGTGGCTGGAAGATGGCAAAACCACCCTGTCCAGGAGACAAGGATACAGAGATTCCTGAGGATGTCTGTAAGATCCTCTATAAAAAGGGGAGAGCTTTTCAAGGGAAGAGAAAAGAATTCCTAGCATGGAGCACTATATCAGCAAAACTGCCACAGGGTGAAGCTCGTTGGACAGACACAGCTGGGACCAGGGTATGGACATGAACTCCTCAGGGCAGAGTAGCAAGAAATATGACCTGGAAAGCAGATCAGCTCCGTATCATGCATCTTAACAGGCTTAAGAATTAGATGAGTGCTCCATAAACAATGACTAAGCTTTTAAGCAGGAAAGTAACAATCAGGCATAAGTTTTACAGAAATACTTCAAAAAAAAAATACAAAACAAAGAGGAACAGAAGAGGAAACAGTTAGGGAGCTGTTATAATGGCCAGGCACACATCGTTCACCTCTCTCAGTACCTTAACTGGTGGAGATTCCAGGAGTGCAAGGGCAGATGAAAGACGTCCTCAAGGCTAAGAAAGGTCAGGCAGCCCGAGATACTCAGGATTGTTTTCCAGGCAGAAAAAAAAAAGTCTGGCTACATCAGGGGGGATTATGTTTCAAAACCAAGACAAATTACAAAAGATTAGAAACTGCTGTAGTGCTAGCAAAATCAAGTAAACCCAAGCTCATCACTCCTGAAGAGGAACTGGAATAAGCACAAGGCAAGTCCTGCTAAAATGACTGTTCCGTAAAGGCTTAAAGAAAGGTCACAGGGCACTGGACATTCTCTTCTCCTGTGAGAGCCGCCTCCGTAAATCACTCCTCTTCGGGAATGTGCTTCAGTAACACCTGGTCAGACTCTCTTCCCACTGTCACAGGGCAACAGTACTCACCACCAGCCCCACAAGAGCCACGTGAGAAGGCAACATGCACGATCACCCCACAGACAGTCATCACAGCCTGGCCCTGACCCCTGGCCAGAACGTTCCTGGGACATGGGAACCCAGCCTTGGCAGAAAACAAATGGTGACCCCCAAAACCCTGGGCTATGAACTGACTCAAAAACAAAAACAAAATCAAACCTCCAAATAGAAAACAAAGGCAAGGGCTAAGAAGGACTGCAATGATGGTGAGATAAAAATCTACGTTTTTCACAGCAATCCTCACGTACAGCTATAAGTCAAGAGAAGGGAAAATAAAGAAATTAAGTGTTTTAGGCTTATACTCTCTACTAGGCACCTTACATCCGGGGTCTCATTTATCCCTTAAAATAGCTTGGAAAGAGGAGTAAATTTGACTGTCCCTGTTTTAAGAGAAGATGAGCCCATGGTCACTCCTGAGTAACGAGAGGAAGGGCAAGGACCCAAGCTCCAGAACAGAGGCTGGAATCCCTCCTCCATCTGCCTCTGCATCAGAGGATTTCATTAAACACAGACCTACAGGACAAGAACACAGTTACCACCAGGTCCATCTTGACGTCTGCAGCATCTGGAGAAGTGCCTGATGGTGAATAAACCCCAATCTTTCTTGGATTTTTTTTTCTATTTTTTTTTTTAAAGAATGACCAAAATCAAATCTTTACTTTTATAATTATATAAATGTGATCCAAAAAAGGACATATTCCTGACCGACCGACCGTGTCAGAAAAGTAACTCAAGACATGTCTCCTCTCAAGGGATTTAATAGCAAGCCAGCTCCAGAGAACACCCAACTTGAAGTATTAGCAACCACTAACACATAGCTCCATTTAGCCTTCATCAATCAGTGTGTGCCCTAAGAAATGAAGGGTGGTCACATATTGTTCTCCAGGCATATCTGCCTCAAGCATTCAGTGCTAATGCTGGAGACAAGGATTCTCCTCCCCAGAGAAAACTTGGGCAATATACACCTCATCCAAATGGCCTGATGACTCACTCGCCCTGTCATCCTCTAAGCTGATGGAACAATCTGAGTTTTAATATAGGATAATTACAGAACTTCAAATAGCGAAGATGGAATAGATTACTCAATAAATGCTGGTGGAAGGCTGGGGATTTAGCTCAGTGGTTCTGCCACCCGCCTCGCAAGCACAAGGACCCGAGTTCAATCCCAGGTGCCCCGCCCTCCAAAAAAAGATGATGGAGAATTTGGTTTTTACAGGAAGACAAAATGAGTTATATCATTCTCTAACTCTAAATGCAAAATTTAAGGTCAGGTTGTTTTTAAAGAATTCAATAAAAGATTAAAAAGAACTAAGAGTAATACATTCATATATCAGGGGTCTCCCTTTTTTATGTGTGATGGTACTAGGAAGTGGACTCAGGATTTTTGCACTGAGCTCCATCTATAATCCTTTTTATTTTTTATTTTTAACAGGGTCTCGTTAAATCACTAAGTTGCCCAGGTTGGCCTCAAACTCGAGATGCTCCTGCCTCAACCTCCCAGACCGCTAGGATGAAAGGCATGCATCACAATGCCAGCTCATTTTTTTTTAATGAAGAGCCAGAGAATAAATATTATCAACTTCGCAGGCCATATGGTCTCTGCTGTAAAACCCATGTAGATTGTTGTAGAACAAAAACAGCTCTACACAGTAGGTAAACAAATGAGCATGCCTATGTTCCAATAAAACGTTACTTATGCAAACTGAAACTTTGATTTCAATAATTTTCATGTGGCTCAGCCATTTAAAGTGTAAAAGAAAACCTCCTAAGACTAATGGTGACAAATGGTTAGGTGGGGGTAGAAGTGTCAATAAAAGGGTGGCAGGAGTCTTATAGTGATGGAACAGTTCTGTATCTTTTTTTGTTTCTTGTTTGTTTGTTTGTTTGTTTGTTTTTGAGGCAAAGTCTCACCATATAGTGCAGGCCAGCCTTGAGCTCACTGTGTATCCCAGGCTGGCCTCAAACTCGAGATTCTCCTGCCCCAGCATCCCAGGCTACTAGGACTCAGCTACTTCTATATCTTGATTGTGATGCTACTAATTTAAGAAATCAATACATGATAGGAGTGGTGGTTCACACCTGTATTCCAGCACTCAGAAGGTTGAGGCAGGAGGACTGTCGCAAGTCCAAGGCCAGCCTGGACTACATACTGAGTTCAAGGCCAGCCTAAACTATACATAATGAGAACCTGTCTCCCAAAGAAATAAAAAGGAAAAAGAAATCTCCGTATACTAGAACTACACAGAATTACAAATACACACACACACACACACACACACGTGTGTGTGTGAGATATGAATGAGTTCTGTGAATTATACATGCTAATTTCCTAGTATTATTACCCAAATATACAAGAAATTACTGATTAAAGGGTATAGGGTACCTGAAACTTCCTTATAAAAAATCTGGTAACTTTCTGCACATTATAATTGCTTCAAAATAAAAGAGAAAAACTTTTTAAATGAAACCAAAAAAATTAAGTCATCAGCTACATAAAAACTGGTGGCAGGCCAGATGTAGCCTTCTGACGTGGGCATGCAGATTTCTTTTTTTTTGGTACCGGGGATCAAACTCAGGTCCTTATGCTTGCAAGGCAGGCAGCGAAACCGCTGAGCTAAATCTCGGGCCCTTGCAGATTTCTGGTTTAGATGAATAATATATAAAATCTTGTGGTTGGGAAAGGCAATTTCTAAACCTCAAACCAAAAGCAGACTCTATGAAGGAAAAGACTCACAAATTTAATAATTTTTTCTCTATGTCAAAGGCAAGGAAAGTAAAAAGATTAAGATGTGGTATGTATATGTACTAACCCCCAAGAAGACCAATATTATTATGTATTGCAAACATATACTAATAAAAAATTAAACAAGAAGAAACAATTAAAAATTGAAATATATAATCAATATATGTCATGTAAAGGTACAAGATACCAATAATGAATGTAACTGTATTGTATATCTAAAATGTACCAATAAAGATTCAGTTTATAATAAAAAAGAAAGATATATATAACACAGTGCGAAGATCTGAACACATTTTACAATAAGCTATTTAATATACTAAGAATTTTGAGAATGATATTTTAAAAAAGAGACCAACAAAAAAAGAACAACCTTCTGCCATAAAGAAGGATGAGCTTGAGACATTTCTAGCTAAATGGATGCATCTTGAGACCATACTCGAGTGAAATAAATTGAACACATATGTTTAAATACTGCATTGTTTCTCTGGTGTGAGAAACTGAAAGTGCAAATGAGGACCAAAATGTGTAATAGATACTGGGAAACAGAAGAAAATGTTCAAATGAGAAGGGGAACAAGGGAGGGGGGAAGGCAAAAGAAAGAGGGTACAAGAAAAAGAGAATAGAAGGGAAAAAATGGAAACAAAGCTTTTGTAAATAAGGAGAGGAAGCAGAGTTGAAGGAGAGAAGGGGAATGGGGGAAAAAGAAAATATATCATGTACAGATGCAAATTCCCTAGGATGAGCGTTATCATTATGTATGTCTAAAATATACCAATAAAAAATAAACAATTATGGGGCCAAAGATTTAGCTCAGAGGTGCCACAGCCTGCCTCACATGCACAAGGTCCTGAGCTCGATCCCCAGTACCAAAAAGAAAACAGAAAAAAAAATGTAAATATGGCCAATAAGCTATAATTCCTCAATATCTATAATAAACATGAAAATGAAAACATGAACTCATTTCTCCCATATAATAGGTAAAGATTAATAGTTAACAAGGGGTCAGGTATGGTGGTACACACTTGTAATCTCAGCTGAGGCAAGAGAATCATAGGTATACAACCAAGCTAAGCAAATTAGCTTGAGACCCTGTCTCAAAAATAAAAAAAGGGATATGGCTCAATGCAAGCCCTGGGTTCCATCTCTAGCACTGGAAAGAAAAAATAAATAAAATATTACCTCTGACTCCAAGACTGTTTCAACTCCACATCAAAAACTTATGTAGCACAACACCTTCAAAATAAAATGGCTTTTTCAAAGCCCTGTTCAGAGCCAAAAGAGCAAGGAAGAACTATACAAGCAGGAAGAGAAAATGTGGGCTGGATGATAGCACTATATATAGACAACTTTGGCTGGTTAACTATCTGAGCCAAAGAGAAAATGTTGGCAAGTGTTAACAGAACAATCTTCAGCATGGCTAGTTGTCATCAATGCTTAATCCAAGGACAAAGAAAACATTACTGCATCCATTTGTCGTCAGTGACCCAAGTGCTTTTCCTCTGTCAGCTGTGACTATTGCCAAATGGTAATATTTATACCTAGTGAATTTTATCTTACTATGACATTCAAGATACAGGAAAGCAGACAGGCCTCAAAATCACCCAAGGTAGGGCTGGGGATTAAGCTCAGTGGTTCCACCGCTTGCTTCCCAAGCACAAGGACCTGAGCTCAATCCCCGGTACCAAACAAATAATCACTCAAGGTATAGCACAGGACAAATGGCAGTCAGCCATACTCCATGCTTAATAACCTGGACATAAAAAAACGGTTTCAATTCTATGCATAACGGTGCCACCACACCAAGGGAGGAGCCCACAGAGAGGCAGCAGGAAACTCTTTTTGAGTCTTGGTGTGAAGGAAACAGCTTCCACAAGTGCAAGTAAACAGCTCAGAGATCCTCTTTCAGCTGCCACCAGCAAACCCACATGGCAAGTTTCTTAAGGACCTACAAGTGATTTCCTCTGACAATGCCAAGCAGGAATTATAATCTTTTTATCTCTTCCTGTTTAAATCACAGTAAAAGACATTAACAAAATTTACCATCCTAACCTCTTTTTTTTTTTGAGACAGGGTCTCACTGTGTAGTTCAGGTTGGCCCTCAACTCACTATGTAGCCTAGGCTGGCTTTGAACTCCCAGCGATCCTCCTGTGTCAGCTTCCTGAGTGCTGGGATTACAGGTGTGCGCCACTACACTCAGCATCCTAACCATCTGTAAATGCGCAGTTCACCTACTAATTTCAAATCTAGTTGTACACTTGGGAACATCTCCAAAATTCTGTGTGTACTC